GGAGAAAGAAAATTTTCACAAACTTTCAGAGTTGGACCTTCTGACCCTCCATTACCTCGAAGACAGTCTTCCAGATGTCTTGGAAAAATTGCTATGCTCTAATCATCTATGACAGCAGATTTATGGGAATGGTAAGGGCCAATAAATTTTTATGGCACTGTCTTAGCTTTTAGTTTAGTCTAAGTTAGGATTAGTTAGCCTCTTCACTTCTGCTTGCTGCATCTGCTTGGCCCAGTCACTTGTCCGCTGGTCTGAACAGCTCCAGCCCCATATTCTTCAATATTTTTTGACAGCTCAATTGCTTTGCGGGCGTGTTTAGTTTGAATCTTGAGAAAACTGCATGCGCCAGGCAGCATCATCTGGCATCTGATTGTGCTTGCTTGATACTGCCTGTACAGGCAGTTCTCAAGGCATCAACCAGACAAGCCCTAGCTGATGCTGGCTGCTGCAGCTGCAGCACTAGCTACAGTCAGCATGTTTGAGCAACTTCCAATAAATTTATTTTTTAATAATAATATATAAAGTCTGGATTGCAGGTTGGAAGAGGTGCTGGAGGATTACACCCGACGAGAAGTCCTTGGTCGTGGAACCTGGAGCATCCGCCACCGTGTTTTTGGCTGGAACCTCCTCTGCCGCCGTGTCCGCTGCCGTATTTTCGGACAACCTGGTCGTGGTCGTCCGAAAAAATCAATAGGCCTCATTTTCAAGTTGCCACGGTTGCCCTGAGAGAAACACAGGTTTGAGAGGCAGCATTTTCCAACAAAACATGAAATCATTCCAGCAATTTTGCACTTACAGATATAATTGCTTTCTCCTGTATATTCTCATCTTTCTCCTCGACCTCCCCATCATCTTTCTCCTTGGCCTTATCATCATCTTTCTCCTCAGTCTTCTCATCGTCTTTCTCCTCATTCTTCTCGTCGTCTCTGTCTTTGTTCTTATCCTCCTTTCCGTCTTCGTTCCTATCCTCCTCTTTCTCCTTGGGTACTAAGGGCCCCTTAAGACCCATCTTCGCTTTTTTCCTTTTCTTCTTTCTTTCATTTTTCGTTAGTGGCTAAATCAAATGCATGATTTCATTGAGTTAGCAAAACATACCTAAAAATCAAATAGAGCAAGAACTTGTAATAACACTTCAACATTCTGATCTTACCAGTATTGATTGAATCATTGAATTTGTAGGGCTAAAGTTACAATCAACAAAATATCCAACATCATTTTCCTAATTAACCA